CTGGAGAGATGGTTCAGTGGTTAAGAGCATTGGCTGCCCTAGCAGAGGACCTAGGTTCTGTTCCCAGCACCCACATGGCCACTAACAACCGTCTATAACACCAGTTCCAGGGAATCCAAAGCCCTTTCCTGGACTTTGGATTGTGTCTGTGGGCACTGCATGAATGTGACATACATGTAGGCAAAACACTCATACACGTAAAAAATAAAAAAATTAAAAAAATTTTTTTAAACCAACCAAGTAAACAAAAACATTTTCCTTCCTCTATCATTGAAACTCCCCAGTTTGGCTCGGAAAAAAATAATTACACACACACACACACACACACACACACACACACACGAAAAGTGACTAATGAAGGGAACAAGTGAATAGGCCATAGGGCTTTCACAGGGCTTTCTCTGCTTCCAATGGCAATTATTTTGTTCTCCTCTTCCCCCTTCTCTTTGCCCAGCCTGATCCTATACCGGGCACACTGGTGGATGCCAATGTAAAGTGAATTAAAGAACTCTTTCATCATGATTTAGTCCAAACAGATTGCATACACACATATGGGAGGGAAGGGAGGGAAGGATTGCAGCATAGTTTAAGGCAGAAATAAATAAATAGGGGCTGAAGAGATGACTCAGTGGTTAAGAGCACTTGCTGTTCTTGCGGAGGACCCAGATTCCATTCCTGGCATCCACATGGAGGGTTCCAGGGGATTTGATGCCCTCTTCTGGGCTCTGTGGGTACTACATGCATGTGGTGCATAGGCATACATGCAGGTAAAACACACATATAATAAAAACAAGTATTTAAATAGATAAATATATTAACCCCCCCCCCCAAAAAAAACGATAAAAATCTCCAACCATATCCCAGCAAACACTTCCATAGTTTGTCCTAGCTTGTCCTCAGTGGTTTGGATGAACAGATTGAGAAGAGACCATGAGGCCTTTTTATTGGCTAGCCCGAGATTAAGTTTGCTTTCCCTGGTCTCTGTGGTAACCGAGCAGGCATTTTCTGCTTGCAAATGGTTGGGAGAGCTGAGCTATTAACTTCCAACAAGGACATTATTTCTGCTCTGTTCATTCTAGTTGGGCTTACATACTGAAAATTGTCCTCAAGTGGACATTTTGTATCCTGCCTTTCTCTACCTAGAATATAGAATAACCTTTATAATCACAAACAAAGAGATAGACTTGGGCTAACAACACATATCACCCTGACCCAAACACTTAAAAAAGGTGGGGGGCTGGGCTGTCTAGGAGGCTGCAGTAGGATATTTCATTCTGCAATGCTTAATTCTCAGGAACCTCGCAGGGGCTTTGCCTCCAGGTTAACAAAGGCAAGAGCGCAGGACTGCAACTCAGAGTGGAATTCATGGCAGTGTTTGCTTATTTATTTGTTAACGGACATAATATTTGCACATACATACAGGGATTTCATAGTTTCGTCTGTTCAATGGCTATCATTTCTCTGTGTTGAGTCCTCCATTTCTTCTCATCAGTTATTTTGAAAAACAGAATCAATTGCTTCTATCATGGTTGCCCTACTGTGCCATACAACACCAGCCCTCTTCCCTGCCTCTAGCCAGGCACAGAAGGATGAGCCTTGCATGTTCCTTCTTGCTCACTCATGGGTACTCCAAAGGCAATGGTTGTGTGGAGTCCTCCTGGCTGCAGTAAGATCAGTCCATCCCATCCTGCATGGAAGGGTTAGGTTGTCCAGCAACCTCTAATTCTTTGGCTTCAAGAGAGGCACAGAAAGTAAGAAGATATGCTAGCAACCCAAATGACAATGCACTTTGTGGGTGGCAGGACTTGTGCTGTCCCACGCACTTGTGGGTAGGGGACGTGGGAGCCTGGAGCTGGTGGAGGCAGAAAAGCAAGGCAAGTGAGCTCCAGATGCAACTACTACCTACCCAAGGTGTTCTGGACATCGTAAGAGGGAGGGGACGGTGAAGAAAGAGGGCACGCACCCTGACCCTCCAAAAGCAAATGACTGACTCCTTCTCCATGCCAACCAACACTACACTGTTCATGGACCAAAACAGTCAGGTCTTCTGATGTTTTAAGACAACAGAGAAAACCCTACTTTTATCAGAATAATTTACAAGCTTTTAAACTATTATCAAATAATGAACAGACTTTAAAATGAGTACCTGCACTCCCGACAACCACACTTGTTT